GCTGATGCCACTTTGTCATGACAATTGCTTTTTACAATAACGAGTCTCACAATTTTATCCCTTGTCGAAACTTTGTCCATGGAGTAATTCGATGTATTGATTACGAAAATTACATTTATTTAGGCTGATGCCACTTTGTCATGACAATTGCTTTTTACAATAACGAGTCTCACAATTTTATCCCTTGTCGAAACTTTGTCCATGGAGTAATTCGATGTATTGATTACGAAAATTACATTTATTTAGGCTGATGCCACTTTGTCATGACAATTGCTTTTTACAATAACGAGTCTCACAATTTTATTCCTTGTCGAAACTTTGTCCATAGAGGTACTTCGATGTATTGATTACGAAAATGACATTTATTTTTGACTGACGCCACTTTGTCGCGACAGTTGCTTTTTACAATAACGAGTCTCACAATTTTATCCCTTGTCGAAACTTTGTCCATGGAGTAATTCGATGTATTGATTACGAAAATTACATTTATTTTTGACTGACGCCACTTTGTCGCGACAGTTGCTTTTTACAATAACGAGTCTCACAATTTTATTCCTTGTCGAAACTTTGTCCATAGAGGTAATTCGATGTATTGATTACGAAAATTACATTTATTTTTGACTGACGCCACTTTGTCGCGACAGTTGCTTTTTACAATAACGAGTCTCACAATTTTATCCCTTGTAACTTTGTCCATGGAGTAATTCGATGTATTGATTACGAAAATTACATTTATTTTTGACTGACGCCACTTTGTCGCGACAATTGCTTCAAATTAGCTGTAACTCGTATACAAGGGTTTTTTTGGTGCCTTGATAAGGTTTGCACCATTCTTTTTTTGGTACTAGTGCCATTTGAGCCCATGTTATGCTGGTCTATGCCCTCTCACTAGTTGGATAATGATTAAGATTACCTTCAGGAGCCACACAGCGCGTGGTTTGTCCACTCTAGAAAGCCCTCCTCTTAAACAGCAACAGCAGGCATAAAAAGTGATAGAGCTCAGGGACGCATGAAGTAGGCGCCAACACCAAAAATAATGCCATTTTCGTAAGGGCATCGAACTACCTCGACGGGCAATAACATTTTGAGACGGTCGGGTTGTAACAGTTGATTGTACCAAGGTTTCAATGCACCCTATGATCCACAGGTCGTTTCCATTGACAAGCGATTTCCTTGGAGGTTTTCGACTTCCACCTGAAAATGTTACATCACTATGAAGTGAAGAAATCTGGGATTGTTTTAGAGACTCGAAAGCGAAAGCAGAAAAGCAAAGGTTTTTGCCACTCAGGAACTCACGGGTTCAGTTTCTCCTCTGGCGCAGAGCAGATCGCCGCAAAAGCCTTATAGGAGTGGGATTTGGAACACGGCCCACACTTGGTAGTTCCACTCTCTTCTGTAGAGACGATCGCGATGCTTGGATTTTCTTCTCACACATACAGTGCGTTTCAAAAGTATGTGCACACCCTCAAAATTCACTTCTGAAAAGGAATCATGAAGTTTCCTGCTATGAAATCCTTCTCAATCGATTTCTCGTAGTCGATAACCTATCAATAGAAGCAAAGCAGATAATATCGCCTCGCTTTCGGAAAAAATTTTTGGATGAAATTTTTTTCTTTGTTTCAAAAGTATGTGCACACTTGAAGAAGATTAGATTTTGGCGCCGAATTTTCCACCGATTTCAATCGGACTTTGCAGTTTTCATTTCGTCATCATGTCAATTCGCGCCATACTTCTTCCTGAAGATGAGCAAGCTTAGATGAAGGTTCTGCATGACAATGAACGTTCCAATCTAGAAATCGCACGATAACTTGGTCGTTCTCCTTAATGCATTCGAAGATTTATCTGGCACCCTGATAATTATACTCAGCACACACTCCGCTCCACCCACGATCTTTGACTGCTCAGCACAACAAAAGCGTAGCCCACATCCTGTCGGATTCTTCATTGACGGTCCGAGCTCAGATTTTTATTCCAGCCTCGAAAATGACCACTGAGCCCCTCATCCGCTCAAATGAATACATCACTCGACAGACGCGAGAAAGGCTACTCATCTCAAGGCCAGCACAAGTCAGCCACATTGGAGTCTGCTCGTACAGACATGGCAACATAGGATGACACCGGCGAAGACACGTTTTCGAGAATTTCTATTTTCAAAACAAGCAACTTTTTTATGGACTCTCCTCTCCCTCAATTAGACTATTAACTCAATGAAAGAGTTCGATGCTGGACGGCCGGGGTGATTTGCTATACTACTGGAGAAGAGCTTGGTCGTGATGTCGCCGTGCTTTCGAGAAGAATTTCGGAAAGAGCCGGTGATGGGGTCTGCGGCGTTTCGCATCAGCGGAAATTCAGAAGTTGCCGTTTCATATTCGTATGACTGAAGAGAATACCAGCATGCTCTAATCCTCACTGTGCCCCTTCTTAGCGAAACGTGAGCGAAAATTGCATTTTTAGCAACGAGGACTACGTGTCTTCAAACATATTCGCAATTGCCAAAGAAATGGCTCACCAAATGGTGCGATTAGCGATAGATTGACTTGTTTCCTCCGTTAACAGCAACGCTAAATATGGGGAAAGAGCCCTGAAATCAAGCCACCGTTAACTCAGCAAACGCCAGTAGTTACATACCGCGGGATGAACTGAATGGCGGCGGTTAGAGGCTCATTTGGGCGCGGAGCAGCGACGATACAAGCTATCTCAACGTGAGTTCAGATTATGTCGGACAGGATGTTCGAGCTGATTAGAAACTCTGGAGCCCACTGATTTCTATACCTCAGCTATGTTTTTTGTTCTTTTGTTAAGTGTGGTCCATACTTTGAAACAATGAAAAAAATTCATTATCAAATTTTTCTTCGAAAGTGAAAGCGAATATATCTGCTTTGCTCATTGATAGTGTTTATCCGATTTTACGAGAAATCGTAGTTTGAGACGATTTTCATATCACGAGACCTTGTCATGTTGCCCTTTCAAAACGCAGAATTTTGAGGTGTGCACATACTTTTGAACGCACTGTAGAATTCTAGCTGCCCTTTCGCGCTCCTTGAAATCAGCTAACTGTTCTTTCCATTAATTTCGCAACCTTCGCGATCAGGCACTCTTACTAAGCGCTCAACGCGTGGAGCGTCATAGTTGCCATTAATCGAAAGAACGTGTACCCTGTGATAAATTATTGTTTGAACACATCTCGCCTATCCAGATCATGTCCTGTGGTCACATGAATCCGCCTCTTGTGTAGCTCCCTCCTAGCTTCTCCACCCTGTCGACTCCCCCTGTCCCTTCCCTTCCTGAAACCGCCTTCGCTCAGCACGTAAACAATCTTGATCCTCTCCACCACTCCGGATAATCCCTTCCATCCTACCATAGCTGAGAATTCGTCACCTTCTTGCAAATTCGTGGAACTGCTGTGGGGCTCGATCGACGCGCCCGCACTATCTTTTCCTCTAAAGGAAAAGGTTTAAATTTTTATTTCAATAATCTATCAAATTTCACCAAGTAACCCACCCTCTGGTCCATATAATGCTGAGCATAGAATATGGACGCACGAGACCCAAGCTTTTTGGTTCGCTCAGCACAGTCGCAACGTACTCGTATAGGGGCATCCACCTTGCAGTTGTCGCTTAACTGGTCAGTGGCTGTTTGGTGGCTGTCAATTCCGTGTTATCTTAGTAGTGCCATTTGCATTCTACATTTCCCCAGCCCAGTAAAACTGGTTGGACTGCCACCCATCATCGCAAATACACGCTGTTGGGTCACATGATGGGCTCCTTCGGCTTTATCACAACGTCTCATCGTCCTTTACCTGTTACCAGTACTTGATCCAGCGATTTGTTTGCATCGACAATTTGATAGGCAAGGCGTGGGCTTTTGTGGTGTTTGGCTGTAGGCGATTCGCTTTCAAAGTCCCTCTTCGCCATCTGAATTTAATAATATATGTATGTACATGTATAGTATAATATATTATATATATATTTATATATATTATTAGTATAATATATATATATCATATATATTAATATTTATATAATATATATATTATATATATCAATCTACAGGGGGGCCAATAAAAAAAAGACATTTTGCCTCCACTCTCCTAGATGGATTTAAGCACTATTTTACTCAACTCCAGACCGAACGGTTCCAACTATTATTGACGAGTATATTCCTTCTATAAGAAAATCTTCCTAGTGCCACCACCGTGAGGACTGCATCAGAAAATTAAGCCCCTGGAGATTACATTCGCTGCAAATTCCAGCGAATACGAAAATCTCAACTGGGGTCTCGAATTCGAGTAAGTACCAAAGACATCTGACCCGAATCCGGGTACTTGGAAAGCTGTCGAACGGGCTGAATTGAGCGACAGCTCGGTTAGCTATGCCATCTAGGAAACTATCCTCAGTTAAATCTGATTACAGGAAACTTAAGCGGTCTTAAGACTTTACAGGCGCTGATATGCTCTTAGGAGCAAACCGGTGTTCCCTTGAGGCCTGACGGAGCTGTGTGAGAGATGAGCGATCACTATTGAAGACACGATACAGGTCGGAGTGAGGCAGAAAGTAAGATATCAAATGCTTCGCGTGTGCGATATAGATAGGTAGGTGAGCTAGCTTAGGGAACAACTCTGCTAGAAAAGCGCAGGAGATTCCCGTCAACGATATAATGCAACTATCTATAGAAAGAAATAAAGGGAAGTTCTCCGCACATCGGCAAAATGTCTTTTTCTCTGAAGACACTCCCTGGACTAAGTTGCATTGCTGACGCATATCTTCATATGAACTCGGAGCGTTGAATTCACCTTTATTTTGCGGTCCTCATCAATTTGTGGACAAAGTGCTATTAAGGCGTCCAACAAGACATCCACTCTCACATTCGCCTTGGACCCGAATATTTCGTGTTTTAGCGTACGGTGAAAGCGTTCGATGAGCATCGAGGTGTTTACGCAGGAGTATTGGCGAGCAAAAGCCCCCCACTGCTGTACACGTCCGCTCCTAAATCTTGTGTTTTTTCCAATCGTAAAAACGAAAAAATGACAGGAGAACCTTACCATGTCCTTCCGAAATATTCCACCATGTTTTGTTCTCCCTGTTCCCTGAGGAAAGTGAGCAAATCGGAATACTTCGAGGTAAAAATATCTTGATCGGACGTCCTACAGAGCTCGCGCACTGTCTCCATAGTGTGGTTAACAAGGTTCTTCTAAAAAACATCTCAAATAGCGGGTTTCAAGAAACATTTAGGGTGCAAACTCACGTCCATTAGCTTTGCTTTGCAATTCCTTTCTACTGTTCTCAGGATATGATACACACACAGGAGCTTTTTAGCTTTTGAGTTGGGAAACACGCGCCGAAAACCGTTATAGAAGGAGTTGGTGTCATCGCTCATGAAAAACGTGGGGTCAAATGCCGGCATCACCTTCTTCACTTCTTTAAATAGCAACTCGGACTCCGCCTCGGTCATCCTGAGATGTTAATGTTTCGAATGACGTAGACTTTAAGCTCTGAGACATTGTCATCCTTACCTATTCGATAGAAGGTATGCAGCTGGTAAGCCTTTATCCCACTCATCAACTACCACAATGGTTGCAAGTCGAAGGGAATAACACGTGAGATTAAACGTGTCGTCTATACATATTGCTCTGGCGGAGTACTTTAGAAGCCATTGCTTTTGAACCGGTGTTATAACGACTGGAAAGGAACTTTTTTCAATTTCAAGAGATCAATGACCACATAACAAGGTGTACAAATGTTTGCAATGTTAGTACCAAGAGAAAAACCATCTCCGCTCTCATCGGTGGCCGGGTTATATAGCTGAATGCCATCTTCTTCTGCACTTTCCCTAACTCGCATTTCCAATGATAAAATATCCTTTTCGTGCCTCCTCCCAGGCTGTATTTTGTTCCTTATAGCGATACTCCTAGAAAGAAGAAAATAAACTGTAATTGTTCGTGCTGACTTCAAAATTTAATACATAATTCTTAATCTTTGAACACAAGCATTGTACGAAGACATCGTTATGTTCTCACCTAACGTCTCGCGGAGTAGTGTAGTAAAGTCTCCGCTGTTCGTCGCTGTCACGACAAGCGCTTCTAACTTTTTTTAACAATCTGGTTAGCACTAAATCCTTCACGCAGAAGTGAGACGATGAGCTCCTCTGAATTGCTGTCTAAGTTCAAAAGGCCTGGTTCCTTTTCATGACCAGTGTGGTCGCCGCAATAAACAACGCGGAAAACTCCATCGCGTTCTGTCACCTGCATACGGTTCATTATTAATGAATACTACAACAATTAGTAAACCAACCTGCATGAATGCAGTGCAGTATTTGGTGCATTTTTTTGATTTCGAAGCAGAATACTGCGGTGTAGGCAATGCTCGACTACATCTGTAGTAAGTAGTCGGTCCATTTCCCCGTTTTTCGACAGAGGTGGTGGCCCATCGAATGACATTCTTCTCTTCCGTTTCCTTACGCCACTCCTCAAAAGAATGTACTTCGAAATGGAGGATTGTACACTTATCTAAACGATAGCTGTCATACCTCATACTCCTGTTTTTTCAAACGTAAGACTCTTAACCCCATATTGGCCAGGAAAGGTAGCATGCTCTGCAGCGGCATGTTCAGCGAGCTGTCGGCGGTTCTAAATTCATGTGATTATTGGCCGTTGGTGTAAATCCAGCTGCTCAGCCTTCAGTACCTGCACTTCCTTTTCACATAACCCACACTGCATATGAACCTTTTCCGAAACGTCACGGTGCATAGACGTCTTATGCACTCTTAGTGCATTTTTCGAGGCATGCCAGCTACTGCATACTTCACATTGTATTTTACCAGATTCCCTCGAAGATTGCTTCAGCTGTTCAATCATCTCCTTGGTGTATGCGTGTGCATCGAAAAGATGGGAATATAAGTATTTGCCTTTCTTCAATTTGCAGTCGGAACATGAATCAACCATTTTTCTGTAATATCAAACTAACACTAGCCAATACTAGGGTGTCGATTTTGTTCTTAAAAGATACCGAGTGAGAAATGAGTGCTCTCGAATTGGGTCTCCTGAGATAGAAGTGAAAGACCTGTAACACAAGCCTTTCATTTTTATTTCAGGAGACATACAATAAGCGAAAGTCCAGTGGAACGAATAAAAACGACATCTTGTCCCACATTCGAATAGAATTAATCACGAATAAGGAATGGACTTTTGGACTTCTGGACTTTCAGACGACATTAGAATAATTTACTACGAAAACATGATGCACGGGTCGAGCTCAGTGAGGTCTATGGCGTGTCGTGAACCATTCTGACGTTATTTGGGACGCTGACGGCAAGCAGTCTTTCATTCTGTTCAGAACTAGGTCTCAGGAAGCTATCCATCACATAACCGATTGAAGGAATTATGTAGCAGGTTCAGGCAGGAGCAATGTGCGGTCTTTCTGAGCTTAACGGCGATGGCAGAGACATCATATCCGAAGACGGTGAGGGCAGCGGAGGAGGACTTGCTCCCACTCATAGAGGGAGATTTGAGGAATTTTTAGTATAAGACTTGTCTATTGAAGAACTCATACGCGACATAGGCAATCTGTGTTTTTGTCCTTGTAAAAGTCTGCTCACCTTGGGTATACCAGAATGAAGTACTAGTTTGTGTTGACAAAAAAAGATAGTAATCAAGGCGCAAAGCTGTTACATGTAAATTATAGTAATTCATTCACGCTTCCAGTTGCAGAAGAATACAGAAAGCAGTCGAAGAGCTAGATGCGAGAGATCCCATCCTAACGATAGATCCTATAGATCCAAAGGTGCAAAAGCTGTTGTTCTCTGATTATGTGCCCCTTGAGATTAGAATGAAAGACTTGTGTTTCTTTCCTTAACGAGCTGGCCATGAAGCTGCCATATAACAACATATTCATATATTATTATTTATTTATTTTTAATATTCTAACATACACACATCGTTACACGTGTTTATATATTTTACATACAAACATATTTATACATAATTACTTCATAACATATATGCCACGATATAACTATATTATTAAGGACATACATAGCAAACAATCAAGGAATTATGAAAAATGAGTTCTCAAACTATTACAGACCTTACAGCGATAATCAGCAGACTTACAAATTAGGCTTCGCAAGATTTCCATGGAACTTACGCAACATTAATATTTAAGCGAAGTATCTGAATCTCCACTCATGTTAAATCTGGTAAACTGGAAGCATCATTGTTTACAGGCTTTGTCTTCACATCTTCCAAGCAGGAAAGCTCAATATAAATCGCACGGATACGGTTTAGACATCTGAAAAACAAGAGGGAATTGTGTTGAGTACATAACAGTATAAACGAATAGTAACGTGAAGTAGCGTGAAGTAGGAGTCAAAAAGGAAGAAGTAAAAATAAATAGAAATGAAACATACAGCTGGATTCCCTCGCATCACACATGGGTCTTCATTGCAGAACAACCAAGAGTGCCATTATCTGGTTCACAGTAACACATATCTACAACCAAGAAATCAACAACAGTAAACTGAGGAACATAAGTCTAAAATAACGAAACTCACTCCCATTTGTTCCTATTGTTTTGATCAGTCCACACCTCGGATAGAACATGTGACAAGATAGTCGCGGTCCAAGACTGTAGTCTTTTACACGAAGTGCATATCTAAAAGTATATAGTAAGAGTTGTGGAAAAGATGACAAATGAATTAACAGCTCAATAAGCGCATTGAATCATGAATTTAAGAATCTCGTAATGGCTATGGCATTGAAATAAAGAAAAAGGGAGCCGAAAGAGAATTCCAAACGAGCGAATCTTTTTAAACGGTAGGTATTTCGGGAAAAACAGATGCAAAATGAAAAATACACCTTCTAGAAACCTCAGATCTCAAAAGAAACCTTGAAAAATAAGTCAGATCATGGAAAGGAGCAGAAATTGATGAAAAATACACCTTCTAGAAACCTCAGATCTCAAAAGAAACCTTGAAAAATAAGTCAGATCATGGAAAGGAGCAGAAATTGATTGATTCTGTGTGTTTGACGTGTTATAGGGAGTGTTGTGTGCAGCTGCACCAGCAACACACGCTAATTGACGCGCACCGTTTAATGTACGGTATACTGCCCTAATCTCCTGAGCTTATAATCTTGTCTCTAGTAGTAGCAAGATCCACCCAGCCCATCAAGATGGAACTCTTTCCATGACTTAAGATTACCTGAGGAGAGAAAGTCCATAAAAAGTTGCTTGTTTTGAAAATAGGAAAATCTCGAAAAACCGTGTCTTCACCCGGTGTCCTATCCTATGTTGCCATGTCTGTACGTGCAGACTCCGATGTGGCTAACTTGTGCTGGTCCTTGAAGTGAGTAGCCTTTCTCAGCGTCTGTCGAGTGGTGTATTCATTTGAGCGGATCAGTGGTCATTTTCGAGGCTGGAATAAAAATCTGAGCTCGGACTGTCAATGAAGAATCCGACAGGATGTGGGCTACTCTTTTGTTGTTCAGAGCAGTCAAGGATCGTGGATGGAGCGGAGTGCGTGCTGAGTATAATTATCAGGGTGCCAGATAAATCTTCGAATGCGTCAAGGAGAACGACCAAGTTATCGTGCAATTTCTAGATTGGAACGTTCATTATCATGCAGAACCTTGATCTGAGCTTGCTCATCTTCAGGAAGGAGTATGGCGCGAATTGATATTATGACGAAATGAAAACAGCAAAGTCGGATTGGAATTGCTTCCATTGATAGGTATCGACTACGAGAAATCGATTGAGAAGGATTTCATAGCACGAAACTCATGGTTCCCTTTCAGAGGTGAATTTGAGCTGAGCTTGCTCATCTTCAGGACTAAGTATAGCGCATGACATGATGACGAAATGAAAACAGCAAAGTCGGATTGAAATTGGTGGAATCCGGCGCCAAAATCTGATCTTCCTCAAGTGTGCACATACTTTTGAAACGCACTGTATGAAAATAATGAAAAATATGACAAAAATAGAGAAAAAAGTGGCACACGTTATGATTATATTTTCGGTCTACCAATAAAAAAGCTCCCTAGATAACTCTTCAATGAAAGATCTTCATGTCGCCGAGGAGGGCCTTGCGGTTGATTGCCTCACTGAAGTTCATTAATGGAAGGGCGCTAAGATGTGGTTCTGAACACGCAAGTCAGCAGGAGTGAAGTTCCCTGACATCATCAAAACAACAGTGCTCTCAACCACTGTGGTCACTGTCGATGAAGATGAGAGTTACACTCGTTTATTTTGCATCATCTTGAGATGCTTTTGAACTTGCTGAGCTGTTCTCTGCAAGAACTTGTGAAGCTTTTCCCCCTGCAACGTCTTGCACATGAGGCAATCAAGTAGTGAGCTTTGTGAGGCAATGGTGCATCTGGTAGTGTCACGACTTGGAGATGAGATCTTGTTGAATGGATTCCAGACTTGGCGACAGCGCAGTCATGATTGCACTGCTTGATTGCACAGCGATGACGCTTGCGTCAGCAATGGTGTACTCTATTGCAGTAACTATTACAAAGGAGATGGCTCTGCTCACGAGCAACACGGTCCACCAGGATAAAGCACACAGCAAAACACTTGGCGGGCACGGAAGCAATATCCATCCAACGCTTTCCTCCCTCATCCCAATGGACTGTACCGATTGTGGGCTAAGCCAGCCGTTTTCAGCTACTATTGCACAATAATCAATTCTGACATCCATATTATCACTTGCTGCATAGGCGCTAAAGCTTTGGCGTCAAATACGTGTGATTTTAGTATTTAGAGAGCAAACTGTTTTTTGAGGCGAACGGTGAGCCCACTCACGAGGCCTGTACTCCAGCCAGAGCTGCCCATTGGTTCCACTATGCTCCTCCAGCGCTCCACTCAGAAGGAGCCCACACCTTACCCGACAAGAGTAGCTCAACCCATCTACTAGTGGACGGCTGGTTGACCTAGGTGTGCAGTCTTACTACTGACTTACATGTAACAGCTGGACATGAAGTAAGGCAATGCCAGATAAGCAAACACACAAGAAATGCAAAAAGAGTTATGAATATTCATCAAAGTATCAATTCACCACTTTCTTCGGGCTGTCTGGTTACTTCACCCAGAGGTGAGCCTTACCAATTGGCACGACGTATTAGACTCTCCCTCGTACTCCAGACCTTCCGGGCTCCATGCGTCCAACGTGTCCTACTCGGGCTGGTTGGAAGGGATGCTCTCGGACGGGGAGCAGGAAGAGGACACGACCGGCGCAGGGATGACAGGTACCCCGCCAACTGGGCTCCGAGAGACAGTCCCCATCGCCTTGAGCTGGCCTTGTCGCTTACTCTGTAAACACCGACTCGCCACTGGTAGCCAGCCACTTTAGCACAGACCGCGACAAGTAACCATAGGCGACTAGCCGCCAACCTCGACCGCAGCAGACCTGGCCAATGGCTCGAGAGCGCATTGGCCAGGTCCACTGACCGAGTGCATGTGAGCCGGGCGCTTGGTGCACCCAGTGGCAAAGACTACTTTCACATACAAGCCGTCGCATCCGTGACCATTTGTATGTGAGAGTAATCCTGTGGTCGAGCTATTAAGCTCCTAACTATTTTATCTCGTAGGCATGGCTTCATTTCATTCCAGAGCGGGCTCCAATGCAGAGCTGATGTGGAGGCGGCTGTTCCACTTCTCCTAGTTAGGCAAGATCTTATATTTTACTGCAAATAGCACTTACCAGTCTGGTGGTCACCATGTCGGTCCGGCCATTTGCAATGAGATGCACCCATGCATTGCTCTTGGCCAGGGGAAAGGAACTGTTTACTATACCTGTTAACAATGCTCTGAAGGCGTTCAGGAGGTTTTCTCCTCAACTCTGTATTCTAACTTACCGCATGGAGGCGCCGTTTTACAACAAACAAAAATAGAATGCTTCATGAGCGATGCTCTCTCCCAGGTGTCAAGTGGGGACGTAAATCAGCAA